CCATATGTTTATTGGCCATCCTTCTTTCCTCTTCAGAGAAGTTTCTTAAGTCTTTAGCTCACTTATTAATCAAGCAGTTGTTTCTTTGAGGATGTGTTGTTGGAGTATTTAATTTTTTGAATTGCAAGTATATTTTAGCTTTGAGACCCTTGTCTGTTGTATGGCTAGTGAAGATCTCCCAATCCGTGGGCTTTCTATTGATCTTGCTAACGATGTCCTTTGACATGCAGAAGCTCTGCAATTTCATGCAATCCCATTTGTCCAATCTTTCTTTGATATGTTGTGTTTCTGGGTCTCTATTAAGAAAATTTGGCCTGTGACAAGGAGACCAAGAGTTTCTCCTATTCCTTCCTGTAATGTTTTCAGAGTGTCTGCTTTGACTCCGAGGTCTTTGATCCATTTGGAGTTGATTCTTGTGCAGGGTGATATATAAGGATGTAGCTTTAGTTTTCTACAGCTAATTAACCAATTTTGCCAACACCATTTACTGAAGAGGCTGTCTTCCTTCTATTCTATTTTTTTAGCTCCCTTATCGAAGATTAGGTGGCTATAGGTCTGTGGGTTCATTTTTGGGTTTTCAATTCTATTTCATTGGTCCTCAGGTCTGTTCTTGTACCAGTACCAAGCTGTTTTGATTATCTCAAAAGATTCCACATAGAAATCCCCTATGACCCTATGACCCAGCAATCCCACTTTTGGGCATTTACCCAAATGATCACAAACAAGACCATACTAAAGTTACCAGAATGGATCAAGAAATGTGATATATATATATATAGATAGATATAGATATATATAGATATATACATATGAATTCTATTCCTCCATCAGAAAGAACGACATTGCCCCATTTGTTAGGAAATGGAAAGACTTGGAAAAAATTCTATTAAGTGAAGTAAGCCAGGCCCAAAGAAACATAGGTCCCATGGTTTCCCTTATTTGCAATACCTAGTATAAGTTTAAGACAAGCAGAAAAGGTCAAAAGCTATGTACAGGGGAAAAACAAAGGAGGAGGCAACAATGCTTGATAAGAAATGCTCATGTAATTGTAACCCCTCCATAAAGTATTTTCACAATAAAAACTTATTTTAAACAAAAGCTATGTACATATGACCAGATAAGCTGATGTTAAGCAAAATGAACCCTAAGATAAGGACACAAATGGTGTTTTCTTTCTTGCTATTGTTTCTAATGTATTCATAATGTACCATTGTTTTTTTTTGTTTGTTTGTTTCTTTGTATGTTCCTCCCCCAGAGTATAACCCCTGGTCTCACTGTATTTTATGTCAGTGCCCTGCATCATATATATATATATATATATATATATATACATATACACTTCTCTAATTTGGGGAGGGGAAGTGAAAAAACAAAATGCTTAAATAGGAACACAGATTGACCCATTGTAACAATGAGATGTACAAGACACTATGTTGAAAAATGAACTTTACAGTTTAGGCGGGGGGGGGGGGGCGGGGGGAGGTAATAGTTGTAGAGGTGGGAGGGAAGGGATGGTAGGAGAAAAACAAAGGAGGTAACAATGCTTGATTGGAAATGTACTCATTACCTTGCTCATGTAACTGTAACCCCTCTATAGACCAGTATTTTTACAATAAAAATGTATTTTAAAAAAAGATCTCATGGACTTTCTTACCTGGGCTGGTTTTGAACTGCAATGCTTAGATCTCAGCCTCCTGAGTAGCTAGGATTACAGGCATAGGCACTAGTGCCTGGCTTTTTTGCTGGTTTTTAAAAAATCATTCCATGGGATGAAACAGTTCTCAGAAAGTTTCTGGAGGGCTGGGAATATGGTTTAATGGTAGAGTACTTTCCTAACATGCATGAAGCCCTGGGTTCGATTTTTCAGTACCCCATAAACAGAAAAAAGCGGAAGTGGCACTGTGGCTAAAGTGATAGAATACCAGCCTTGAGCAAAAGAAGGTCAGAGACTGTGCCCAAGCCCTGAGTTCAAACCCCAGGATGGCAAAAAATAAAAACATAAAAGTTTCTAGATTCCAAAGCAGACTGTCTGGTTGCCCAACCCTGGCTCTTTCTAGAGCAACACACTCTGTCCTAGAAGTAGTAGCTGGGCCAGAATCCCCAGAAGCAGAACACGTTTCAGAAACAATGCCAAGTTTCTAAATTCTTGGATAGCTCCAGGAATTATACATGACCATTATCTTGTGTGCTTTCCCAGAGCTAATGACAGACTGCCCTGATATATTTGTATTTTTTCTCTCTCTGGGTCTCTATTCCTTTCTGCATTCTTAATGTCTAAAACAGTAAGATATATTCAGTGTAGGGGCCTTCCGTTCAAACAGTCATAAGTAAGTATTTATTTCTTGAATTAGTAGATTTCCTATCTTGGAAGCTATTATCTAATCATTTGCCCAAGCTAGAAATCTATGAATCTTAAGACTTTTGCCAGGCACCAGTGTCTCATGCCTGTAATCTTAGCATCAGAAGGCTCAGATTTGAGGATCACAGTTCAAAGCTAGCCCAAACTGGAAACTTCATGAGACTCATGTTCAATTAACCACAAAAAGCTGGAAGTGGAGCTATAGCTCAAGTGATAGAGTGCCAGCCTTAAGAAAAAGAAAAAGAAAAAAGATAAAGCTAAGGGTTCAAGACCCAGTGCTAGCACGCGCGCACACACACACGCGCACACACACACGAGCCAGGCAACAGTGGCTCACATCTGTTATCCTATTCAGGAGACAGATTTAAGGATCACGGTTTGAGGACAGCTGGAGCAGGAAAGCTGGTGAGACTCATCTCCAATTAACTACCAAAAACAAAAGCTGGAAGTGAAGCTATGTCTCAAGTGTTAGAGCGCTAACTTTGAGTAAAAACTTAGATCAGGAATAGCACCCAGACCCTGAGTTCAAGCACTAGGACCAGCACAAAAAAAAAAATCTTGGACTTTTGCTTTTCAATCTCCGGCATCACAAAAAAAAAATGTTGATGACCAAATCCTATCTATTTATAAATCCTGGGTGGCTCTTGTCTTTATCCCCTGGCCAAGTCTGTGACTTTTGTCAATGTATTAGTTCAATCCCATTTTGGCCACATATTCAATTGCCTCCTAGGTAGTATCTATGCCTTTTTGTCTTTCCTGTTATGGGGCTTAAACTAAGGGCCTGAGTTCTGTCTCTGAGCTTCTTTGGCTCAAGGCTAGTGCTCTACCACTTGAGCCACAGCGCTACTTCAGGCTTTTTTCTGTTTATGTGGTACTGAGGAATCAAACCCAGGGCTTCATGCATGCTAGGCAAGCACTGTACCACTGAGCCACACTCCCAGCCTATATCTATGCCTTTTTAACTCCTCCCCTCTGAGCCAGTCAGTATCAAACTGATCAATATCACTGTCTTGCTGAAATCCTTACATGTCTTTCCACAATTCCAGGATAATAGTCCAAGTTCCATAATACTATTTGGAAACCATTCTTGATCTGGGCTACTTTCTAATCTTCCCTCCTATCCAAATATACTTACTTATTGCAATACTACGCATACTCTTTCCCCAATCTAGAACGGCCTTTTCCTATCCTGGATCTCACTGAATTATATAGACACCTTGAAATTCAGATCCTGCTTAACTTTATGGTATGCTATCTCTGATTTTTTTTTTTGCCAGTCCTGGGGCTTGAACTCAGGACCTGGGTGCTGTCCCTGAACCTCTTTGTGCTACCACTTGAGCCACAGTACCACTTTCAGGTTTTTTTTGAGTAGTTTATTGGAGATTAGAGTCTCACAGGGACTTTTCTACCTAGACTGGCTTCAAACCATGATCTTCAGATGTTAGCTTCCCTGAGTAGCTCGGATTACAGGCGTGAGCTACTGGCATCTGACTCTTTCTGAATTTTTTTCTTTATTATTTTTTGTATATATTTTTTATTGTAAAGATACTGTACAGAGGGGTTACAGTCACATGAGTAAGGTAATGAGTATATTTCCTATCGAGCATTGTTACTTCCTCCTTTGACTTTCTGAATTTTTGTACTCATTGAATTTTTCTGTGCTCATAAATCCTGTACATTCTTTTTTTTTGAGTATGTTCTGGCCTTGGAGCATGAACTGAGGGCTTAGGAGCTGTCCCTGAGCTTTATTGCACAAGGCTAACACTTTTTTGCACAAGCCACAGCTCCACTTCCGGTTTTTTGGTGGTTAATTGGAAATAAATGTCTTACAAACTTTCCTGCCAGGGCTAGCTTTACACTATGATTCTCAGATCTCAGCCTTTTGAGTAGCGAAGATTACAGGTGTCAGCCATTTGCACCTTGCCAAATCCTGTACATTGTTTACTCTTGGTATTTAATACACTGTCCTGTCATTTATCATTTATATACCTGCCTATCTTCTCTGGCACCCAGACAAGTTATCAGATCTTGGATAGTGGCAAAAATCTAGCCTTAGGTTTGAGCCAGGGACAGATTTGTGTGTGTGTGTGTGTGTGTTGCTAGGTATGGAACCGAGGCCTTGTGTGTGCTAGGCAATCATTATTCTACTGAGCTACAAACATAGTCCTTGTTGTTGCTGTTTTAACGAGTCCCAGGCTGACTTGGAATTTGCTTTGTACTTCAGGCTGATTTCAAACCCTCTGTTCTCATGCCTCTGCCTCCCACATGCTGAGATAATAGGCATGCACCAACACCATGTTGTCCACTATCGTGGTGATAGGTCCTTAAATGTTTGTTACATGAAATATGTAAGGTTTCTTTTTCTTCTTTGTTGGTCATAGGGCTTGAACTCTGGGCCTGGATCCTGTCTTTGAGCTATTCAGCTCAAGGCAAGTGCTCTACCACTTGAGCCACAGTGCCACTTCCAGTTTTCTGATGGTTAATTAAAGATAAGAGTCTCAAGGGCTTTCCTGGCTGGGCTGGCTTTGAACCACAATCCTCAGATCTCAGCCTCCTGAGTAGCTAGGATTACAGGCATGAACCACCAGCACTCAACTGTAAGGTTTCTTTGTAACTTAGTTATGATGGTTTTATTTTCTAGGTACATGGTTCAGTGGCCTGGTGGCCGAATCCTGCATCGCCATGAGCTAGACACCTTTCTTGCACAAGCAGTATCTACCCAACTTTATGAACCAGATCAACTTCAAGAACTCAAGGTGAGGGCTGGGAAGGTGGCTCAGTGGTAGAGCGCTTGTCTTGCATGCCTGAGGCCCTGGGTTCGATTCCTCAGAACCACGTAAGCAAAAAGAAAAAAGCCGGAAGTGGCGCTGTGGCTCAAGTGGTAGAGCGCTAGCCTTGAGCTGAAGAGCTGAGGGACAGCGCCCAGGCCCAGAGTACAGGCCCCACAACCAGAATCAAAAAAAAAAAAAAAAGAGAATTCAAGGTGAGGGCTGGGAATGTGGCTTAGTGGTAGAGTGCTTGCCTAGCATGCATGAAGCCCTGGGTTCAGTTCCTCAGTACCACACAAACAGAAAAGGCCAGAAGTGGCCTTAAAATCCATGGGATTTGGGGCTGGGAAGGTGGCTCAGTGTTAGAGAGCTTGCCTTGCATGCATGAGGCCCTGGGTTTGATTCCTCAGCACCACATAAACAGAAAAAGCTGGAAGTGGTGCTTGGCCCAAGTGGTAGAGCTCTAGCCTTGAGCTGAAGAGCTGAGGAACAGCACCCAGGCCCAGAGTTCAAGTCCTAGTGCTAATACACACAAGTAAAAAGGCCTTATATTCCATGCCCCACAACACACACACACACACACACACACACACACACACACTCACACTCATACTCACTCACTCACTCACTCACAAGGACTTGTAAAATCTTTTAAGGGATTTCAACCAAAGAAATAATGCATGTGTCTAATATACATAATGAGTTGTTCCTTTCTGTTCTAAATGTAGTATTACTGGGTCTTGGAGTAGCTCCTTACATCAGATCACACCTAGGAGAGGAACTACAATTACTTACTTTTTTCCTATTAAACTGTCTAACATGCCACTGTGAAAATCTTGCTGTTTTCTCAATCTTTTTATGTGTATGTATGTGGTACTAGGGATTGTGCTTCTAAATATTTAAGATATTGTTTCTGTAATTTTACTTGAATTTTCTGCATCTGCAGATTCAACTAACCTCTGGTTGAAAATATTTTGAAAACTTGCATCTATCCAGATGTAATAGCACACATTCATAATGCCAGCACTCAGGAAGCTAGGGCAGGAACTTCATATGTTCTATGTGCCAAAAATTTTTAGCACATATTTTATCACAGGATATATCATTTAATTATTATAATGTTAGTCACTTTGTTCCTCCTTTTCCCCATTATATATAAAATTATCATTAACCCTTTTTTCTTCTGGCAATACTGGGGATTGAACTCAGATCCTTGCACTCGCAAGGCAGTTGCTCTACCACTTGAGCCACACCTCTAGTCCCTTTTTGAATTGGTTCCTTTTTTTGCATAGGTTCCTTTTGAGGTAAGGTCTCCCTTTAGCCTGGGCTATGCCTGGTGATGACAAGCACACACCACTATACCCAGCCATTAGTTAAGATAGAATCTCATGAACTATTATGTCCCTGCTGGCCTGGAACCATCTCTGTCTCCCAAGTAACTAGGATTACAGGCTTGAGCCACCATGCCTGGCTTAGAGTCAATATGAGGCCAAGTATGGAATTTTTCACTTTTGATATCATGCCAGTGTTGAGACAGTTTCAGATTTTGGAGCATACAATGTTCCAAAATATTTCAGATTTTCACTGGTCATGGTGACACATGCCTATCACTTCTAGCTATGCAAGAGGCATAAGTTAGAAGAATCACAGTCTAGGTCAGCCCAGGCAAGAAGACACTCTTCCTGAAAAAAATAACTAAAAGCAAGAGGACTTAACTGGTTGACTACCTGCCTAGCAAGTATATTGCATTCAATCTCCAGTACTAGGGGGAGAAAAGATTTCAGATTAGGGATGCTTTATCTATAGTTCTTTGTTTGCACATTCTTAATAATATTTTCCCCTCTGTCATACTTTCAGATTGAGAAACTAGATGCCCGAGGAATCCAGCTTGCTGCCCTCTTCATGAGTGGGGTTGACACAGCTCTATTTGCTAATGATGCCTGTGGCCAGCCAGTCCCTTGGGAACATTGTTGCCCCTGGATTTACTTTGATGGCAAGCTGTTCCAGAGCAAGCTCATTAAAGCAGGTCGAGAACGAGTATCCCTGGTTGAACTCTGTGATGGCCAGGTACCAACATATTGGATAGCCACTACTGCTGTGGGAGTAAATGAATGGGCAGGGAGGAGAAAGGAGCTAAAATAGCGAGGAGCAGAAGTGGGAAACATGTGTCTGACCTGAACTTAATTTAAATCATCTTGGTCACAAAAGCCCCAAGTCTGATGTGTACATGTTATAAAATTATCTGTTGGAGGGGCTGGGAAGTTGGCTCAGTGGTAAAGTGCTTGCCTTGAATGCATGAGGCCCTGGGTTCGACTCCTCAGAACACATAAGCAGAAAAACCCACAAGTGGTGCTGTGGCTCAAGTGGTAGAGTGCTAGCCTTGAGCTGAAGAGCTGAGGGACAGTTCCCAGGCCCAGAGTTCAGGCCCCACGACCAACAACAACAACAACTATATATATATATATATATATATATATATATATATATATATATATGTATATATATACAATTATATATATGTTGGAAAGGTTTTGTTTTCATATTTGTTTTCTTAGGATGACTATTTCTTTTCAAGTGCAATACTTTCAGGATCTAATTTCCTTTCTTTACAAAAAAGTATAAGTAGGGGCTGGGAAGGTGGCTCAGTGGTAGAGTGCATGCCTTGCATGCATGAGGCTCTGGGTTCGATTCCCCAGCACCACATAAGCAAAAAGAAAAAAGCCGGAAGTGGCTCAAGTGGTAGAGCACTAGCCTTGACTCAGCTAACGAGCTGAGGGACAACACCTAGGCCCAGATTCAGTCCCATGACTGACTAAAAAAAAGTCACTTCTGGAACCGGTTTCTTTTTTTTTTTTTTTTTTTTTTCCTTCTTTTTTTTTTTTTAACCAGTACTGGGGCATCAGGAACAGGGTGTTATTCCTTAGGTTTTTTCCATTCAGAGTTGGCATTATACCATTCGAGCCACAGCTTTTTGGTGGTTAATTGGAGAAAAGAGTCTGAATGACTTTTCCACCCAGGCTGGCTTTGAACTATGATTCTGAGATTTCAGGATCCTGAGTAGCTAGGATTACATGTGTGAGCCACTAGCAATGAGAGGCGTTTTGTTTTTATTTTAAACTCGAGATGCTGAGATCTGATGATCCTAGTTCAAAGCTAGCCTGGCAGAAAGATCCCCAAGACTCTTCTGTAGTTAACCAGCAAAAATCCAGAAGTGAAGGTGTGGTTCAAATGGTAGAGCACCTAACTTGTGAGAAAAAGCCAATATCTGCAAATTCAATGCAATACCTATCAATATTCTAGGCTCATTCTTCAAGGAAATAGAAGAGGCAATCTAAAAATTCATATGGAACAATAAAAGACCCTGAATAGCAAAAACAATCCTTAACAGAAGGAACATTGCTGGAGGAATATCAATACCAAATTTCAAACTCTACTACAAAGCCATAGTAATCAAAACAGCTTGGTACTGGCACAAGAACAGACCTCAGGACCAATGGAATAGAATTGAAAACCCAGAAATGAACCCACAGACCTATAGCCACCTAATCTTCGATAAGGGAGCTAAAAAAATAGAATGGAAGGAAGACAGCCTCTTCAGTAAATGGTGCTGGCAAAATTGGTTAACTACTTGTAGAAAACTAAAGCTATATTCTTATATATCACCCTGCACAAGAATCAACTCCAAATGGATCAAAGACCTCGGAGTCAAAGCAGACACTCTGAAAACATTACAGGAAGGAATAGGAGAAACCCTAGGTCTCCTTGGCACAGGCCAAAATTTTCTTTTTTTTTTTTTTTTTTGGTCCGGTCGTGGGACCTGAACTCAGCCTGGGCGCTATCCCTCAGCTCTTCAGCTCAAGGCTAGCGCCTTGAGCCACAGCGCCACTTCCAGCTTTTTTTTTTGTTTTTGCTTATGTGGTGCTGAGGAATTGAACCCAAGGCCTCAGGCATGCAAGGCAAGCGCTATACCACTGAGCCACCTTCCTAGCCCCCAAAATTTTCTTAATAGAGACCCAGAATCACAACAAATCAAAGAAAGATTGGACAAATGGGATTGCATGAAATTGCAGAGCTTCTGCATGTCAAAGGACATAGCTAGCAAGAACAATAGAAGGCCCACAGATTGGGAGAAGATCTTCACTAGCCATACAATGGACAAGGGTCTCATATCTAAAATATACCTGGAATTCAAAAAATTAAATCCCCCAACAACAAATCCTCAAAGAAACAACTGCCCAATAAATAAGTGGGCTAAAGACTTAAGGAGAAACTTCTCTGAAGAGGAAAGAAGGATGGCCAATAGACACATGAAGAAATGCTCAACCTCCCTAGCCATAATAGAAATGCAAATCAAAACAACATTGAGGGGGGGAGGGAGGAGGCTGGGAAGGGATGTGAAGGGTAAACAAAGGAGGAGGCTGCAATGCTTGGTAAGAAATGTACGCATTATCCTGCCCATGTAACTGTAACTCCTCTGTACAGTATGTTCACAAATAAAATTAAATTAAATTTAAAAAAAAAAAAACATTGAGATTCCACCTCACCCCAGTTAGAATGGCTATAATCAACAACTCTAATAACAACAGATGCTGGAGGGGATGTGGACAGAAGGGAACCCTACCGCATTGTTGGTGGGAGTGTAAACTTCTTCAACTACTTTGGAAAGCAGTATGGAGGTTCCTCAAAAGACTCCACATAGAGCTCTCCTATGACCCAGCAATCCCACTTTTGGGCATTTACCCAAATGATCACAAACAAGACCATACTAAAGCTACCAGTACAACTGTGCTTATTGCAGCATTATTTACCATAGCTAAGATATGAAACCAACCCAGATGCCCCTCAGTAGATCAATGGATCAAGAAAATGTGGTGTGTGTGTGTATGTCTCCATCAGAAAGAATGACATTGCCCCATTTGTTAGGAAATGGAAAGACTTGGAACAAATTATATTAAGTGAAGTAAGCCAGGCCCAAAGAAACATAAGTCCCATGGTTTCCCTTATTTGCAGTAACTAGTATATGTCTGAGTCAAGCAGAAAGGTCAGATAAGTTGATGTTAGGGAAATGAACCCTAAGATATGTATTCAAATGTTTTTTCTTTCAGGTGATTGTTTCTAACACATTTATAAGATTATTTCTTTGTGGCTTTGTATGTCCCTCCCCCATGGTATAACCCCTGCTTTCACTGTATTTGAGGTTGGTATAATTTGTGGAGGGGAAGGGAAAAAACAAATTGTTTAAATATGGATACAGGTGGACCCATTGCAACAATGAGATGTACAAGTTGTTATGTCAAAAAACGAACTTTACAACATTGGCCATTGGGGGGTTGGGGGGGGGGAGATGGGAAGGGGGGATGGGAAGGGGAAACAAAGAAGGAGGCAACAATGCTTGATAAGAAATGTACTCATTACCTTACCCATGTAATTATAACCCCTCTGTATGGTATTTTCACAATTAAAAAAAAAGCCAAATAAGAGTGTGAGTTCAAGTACCAGTACTGGCACACACACACACAGAAGAACGAAATGGAAGAAAGTAAATAAAATTGATGACAACATAGAAACAAAGGAATTTATTGCAGTAAAAACTTCCAAACCTGGGGGAAAGCAAGAAAGGAAAACTTTAGTCACTCTTATAACAAGGTCTGGCATACTAGTTTCAGCAACCCTCCTTTTTGTAATGCATGCCATTTTCTGTTTTGATAAATAAAATTTTATTTCAGTACAGCCACATTTATCCATTTGCATATTCCTGTGACTTCTCTCATGTTACAATTACAGCATAGAATAATTGTAGCAGAGACAATGTGGTTTGCAAAACTTTAAATATTTACAATCCTGCACTTTAGAGAAGAATTGTGTTCACTTCTGAAATGGAGGTACTTACTTATCCTGTCAGAAACTCATGGTCTCCAATCCTGGGTATTTGGTGGCAGAGGTTAAAAGGCTTTGTATATATCAGGGTCTTGTTCTTTTTTAGCTAATTTCTTCCCTCTCCTTTAAAAAAATTGCCTTACTTATTGCTAGTTTTTTCATCAACCATCAGTATATCCTTATTCCATTTGCATTGACTTGGTTATTGTGTCCTGTAGGCCTTTACGGAAACTAATCTTGACCGTGATGTGGTTTCATGCATGGAGCTGACAGCTTCCTTTCCAGAAGCCTTCCTATGCATGTAATCTGACATCATTGAACTCTATATTCAATTCTCTTTTTTGGGGGCGGGGGTCAGTCATGGGGCCTGAACTCTGGGCCTGGGCGCTGTCCCTCAGCTCTTCAGCTAAGGGCTAGCACTCTACCACTTGAGTCATAGCACCATTTCTGGCTTTTTCTGCTTATGTGGTGCTGAAGAATTGAACCCAGGGCCTCATTCATGTAAGGCAAGCACTCTACCACTGAGCCACCTTCCCAGCCCTCATATTCAGTTCTCTTAAGGGGAAATAGAATAGAAAATTGCACCTAGAGTGCCTGGCACATGGGAAAAGTTTGAAAAATAGCAGATGTGGTTATTGTGCTCTTTTCTTTCAAAGGCTGACCTGGCAACCAAAGTAGAAAAGATGAGACAGAGTATCCTTGAAGGAGTCAACATGAATCATCCACCACCTTCTGCTCTTCTTCCATCACCTACTTTTGTACCTCCCATGGTACCATCTCTCTACCCGGTTTCACTTTATTCCCGAGCCATGGGCTCAATGCCACCTCCTCCTCAAGCAAGGAGCAGGGGGTTTGCAGGTCAGTACTTAAGAATAATGTATTTGCCATCTAATTTTGTTGTGGGTTTTTTTGGTAAGAATATTGCAATTTGAACTCAGGGCCTCATGCTTTTTCTTAGCTTTTTTGCTCAAGGCTGGCACTCTGCCACTGGAGCCACACCTTCACTTCCAGTGCTTTGCTAGTTCATTGGAGATAAATCTTTCAAGTTTGTCTGGCTAGGGTAGCTTTGAACTGGGATCTTTAGATCTCAGCCTTCTGAATATCTTGGATTATAGGCATGAGCCACTGGTGCTTGGCTTCTAATTTAATTCTTAATTACCTACCCAATACTCGCCAGTTACAGAATCTCTAGGATTTTTTTGTTTGGTTGTTTATTTTTGTCAGTTGTGCGGCTTGAACTTGGGGCCTGGGTGCTTCCCTGAGCCCTTTTGCTCAAGGCCAGCACTCTACCACTTTGAACCATGGCTCCACATCGGTTTGCGGATGGTTAATTGGAGAAAAAATTCTCATAGACTTTCCTTGCCCAGGCTGGCTTTGGACCCTGATCCTCAGATCTCGGCCTCTGAAGTAGCTAGGATTACAGGCATGAGCCACCAACATCAGACGAATCTCTAGTTTTATATTCATTTTTATCTCATTTATATTCTATGCTATGTTGTGGTAGTTTGAAGAGTAGCTCATTGTGATAGAAGGCGATAGCTTGAGAAAAAAGAAAGGTCATCAAATTCCTAGTACTTTCTGTAGAGTTGTTCGGGTCCCAGCAATGTGACTCTTACCAAAACCCAAATTGTGGTATCTGGACTCATGAAAAAGATAGGTGTTACTTCATCATTTTGAGAACAATAATTCATATGAGGGGCTGGGAAGGTGGCTCAGTGGTAGAGCGCTTGCCTTGCATGCTCGAGGCCCTGGGTTCGATTCCTCAGCACCACATAAGCAAAAAGAAAAAAGCCGGAAGTGGCGCTGTGGCTCAAGTGGTAGAGTGCTAGCCTTGAGCTGAAGAGCTGAGGGACAGCTCCCAGGCCCAGAGTTCAGGCCCCACGACCGGACCCAAAAAAAAATAATAATAATAATAATTCATATGAGCTGGATCTTTATGATTGCCTTTATTTTATTCATTTCTTATAGATAATTGCCCGCAGGAGATTATAAGAAGGGCAGTGGGGCTGGGTGCCCATTATGGGCTCATGCCTGTAATCCTAGCTGTTCAGGAAGCTAAGAACTGAGGATCATGGTTTGAAGTCAGCCTGGGCAAGAAAGCCCAGGTAGGAAAGTCTGTGAGACTCTTAATCTCCAATAAACTTCTCAGAAAAAAAGCCAGAAGTGGTGCTATGGCTCAAGTGGTAGGTGGAGTGCTAACCTTGAACAAATGCAGCTCAGGGACAGTGCTCAGGCCCAGAGTTCAAGCCACAGCACTGGCCAAAAAAAAATGGTAGTATAGTGGGAGTGAAGGCCAGTGTTGGAAGATGCTGGTGGTTTGATGTAGCCTTATTTACTCTGGGGATAGATTTGACACATTTCCTTTCTTCGACTCCAGAAGCATCAAGAGAAACATCATGTTCATGTTCCCCAAAGGAATAGCAATTTAGTGAAGAAATCTTCACACGAATACCTCTATATACACACACATATGTCTAAATTATGGAGACAGCCTGATGTGCTGTTTTTGTTAATATTTTTATTGTTGTTGTAAAGATGATATACAGAGGGCTTATAATTTCATAAGCCAGGTAATGAGTACATTTAGTTTTGGACAATGTCATCTCTTTGGGCTGCCTCTTATTAAGGAATAGATAAACATGCCTACGTAACTCAGATACTGATTTTGATACTTCAAACAACATATAACCTGGTTAAACAAGAATATTTTTTGTGTGGTGCTGGGGATAGAATCCAAGACCTTGTATGTGCTAGGCAGCAAAATGTTCTACCACTAAGCTATATCTCCAACCCTGAAGCTGGCTATATTTTTTTCTTTGTTGGTCATGGGGCTTGAACTCAGGGCCTGGACACTGTCTCTGAGCTTTTTTGCTCAAGGCTAGTGCTCTACCACTTTGAGCCATGGATCCACTTGCAGTTTTCTGGTGATTAATTGGAGATAAGTCTCATGGTCTTTCCTGCCTGGGATGGATTCGAACCACAATCTTCACATCTCAGCCTCCTGAGTAGCTAGTATTACAGGTGTGAGCCACCAGTGCCTGGTGAAGCTAGATATTTTAGTGGGGACATTTTCACATGAAATAGCAAAACTCTATGACCAGGTACGTGTATCATTGCTATGGATGAAAGTGTGTGCTATCTATTGCTCCTCTGTAAAAATATGAAAGCTAGAAGTTGACATTAGTCTTAAGGTCACAAGGCTCAGCTTTCATGAGCAGTATGAAAGTTAGCTCCAATATAACCCTTTGTTGATTCAAATAATGGTCTAGTTTTACAAATGAGGGAGCCAGCCATTCTATACCTTTAAGGTGACAAAAATACATCTCTCATTTGATTTTCTGTGTTGATTTTATTATATAAGTCTCACTAGTCACCTTAATTAATGCCATATTCCTGGAAGGTCCTCCCCATTGCCCCAGTACCAGTGGTACTTCAGTTACTGGTGGCTCACAAGAGCATCCTGCCTCCTGAGAGGATACAATAAGATTGTCAAGTACGTTTTTCTTGTCCCTCTTAGGAGCTAGTTCCTAGCTCCTTAGATTTCAATTTATTTATTTGTTTGCTTGCTTACTTATTTATTTTTTTACTTACTTATTTATTTCATGTGTGCCAGTGCTGGGCACTGTCCCTCAAGGCTAACACTCCAATTGAGCCACAGCTTCACTTCTGGCTTTTTGGTGATTACTTGGAGAAAAGAGTCTCACAGACTTTCCTGTTTGGGCTAGCTTCAAACCACAGTCCTCAGATCTCAGCCTCCTTAGTAGCTAAGATTATAGGTGTGAGCTACTGGCACCTGGCAACAAAGGTCTCTTTTCTAGCAACCTGTTAAATGAATTGCAGATAATTAGCTTTTTCTTTCTATTTTTGGTCAGAGATTAGGAATCAAACTCTGTACCTGATACTTTTGCTTATTGGCTAACACTCTACCAAGTGAACTATGCCATCAACCCCAACTTTGGCTTTTTTTTTGCCAGTCCTGGGGCTGGAACTCAGGGATTGGGTACTGGCCCTGAGCTTCTTTAACTCAAGGCTAGCACTCTACCACTTGATCCACAGCGCCACTTTGGGCATTTTCTGTTTATGTGGTACTGAGGAACCAAACCCAGGGCTTCCTGCATACCAGATAAGCACCCTACCACTGAGCCACATTTTCAGCCTGAAGCAAAAATTTCTTAAATAAATTAAATAATTAAATGTCCCAAACCCCAAGAAATATAATTCATTTTCTCAAGAAATGTCTGAGGGGCTGGGAAGGTGGCTCAGTGGTACAGTGCTTGCCTCACATGCCCTGGGTTTGATTCCTCAGCACCACATAAGCCAAAAAAGCCAGAAGTGGCGCTGTGGCTCAAGTGGTAAAGGTCTAGCCTTGAGCTGAAGAGCTAAGGGACAGGCCCAGAGTTCAAGCCCCACAACCGACAAAAAAAAAGAAAAAAAGAAAAGTTTGAGGCTGTATCCTAGCTACTCAGGAGACTTAAGATTTGAGAACCTCTGAAGCCAACTTGGGCAGATAAATCTGAGAGATTCTTACCTCCAATTTACTAGCAAAATGTCGGAACTGGAGGTGTGGCTTAAGTAGTAGAGCACCAGCCATGAGCCAAAACACTGAGCAAACAAGTTGAAGCCCTGAGTTCAAACCCCATTACAAGCCTAAAGAAAATAAAATAAAAAAGGAATACTGATTCCTACTGTGACAGATCTTTATTTGAAAAATCAATCCCTCACAACTCAGTTACTAAAGTATGTGTGTGTATAGATCTCTCTCCCTATATTTTCTTATCACAGCCCCTTACTATCACAAAGTCTTCTTATCAAAGATAAGTAGAAATAAGCATAAGTAGAGTAGGGTGCCAGTGGCTCATGCCTGTAATAGTAGCTACTTAGAAGGCTGAGATCTAAGAATCATGGTTCAAAGCCAGCCCAGGCAGGAAAGTCTGTGAGACTCCTATCTCCAATTAAGCACCAAAAAGCCAGAAGTGGCGCTGTGGCTCAAGTGGTAGAGTGCTAGCCTTGAGCAAAAGAAGCTCAGGGACAGGGCCTGGACCTTGAGTTCTAGCCCCAGGACTGGCACAGAAAAAGAGTAAGTAGGTTGTAGGATCTTTTGTTCAACCTCTTGTTCTATCCTACACTTCCCATTCATTTGTTCTTTCTTTTCTGTCTTGCTAGGTCTCCATCCAATCCCTCCTCAAGGAGGAAAACTAGAGATTGCTGGGATGGTGGTGGGCCAGTGGGCTGGCAGCAGATCCTCCAGAGGTCGAGGATCCTTTGGCATGCAGGTGGTTTCTGTTGGTGGGCCTGGAAAGGGGTATGTATGTATTCAAATAGGTTTGTATGAGCTGGTATCAGTCAAGATGTCCCTGGGAAAATGCCCAGCTGTTGAATCCTGTTCAGGAGCCTTAACCAGTTTTCAACTTGGTTTAGCAAACAATAATAACCCTGCCTCGAAGAAAGAGTTTTCATACTGAAGGAGAATATGGGAAACAAAACAATTCAATATAACAGGGAAGTAATAGAGGTAGAGGTTGAGAGTAGTCAACACTAAGGAAGGGCATCTCACTTAACAGGGCCAACTTCCTAGAGATGACTAGATACCAGAATAAAAAGGGGGATATGAGCTTTCTGTGTTTCTCATTATCACCTTTCCTTCCACTTACTAAAGGCATGGAAAAGAACCAAGTGGTAGAGGGCCCAAAGGACACAAAAAAGGAAGTAAACAAGTAAGTACCTCTTTTTTTTTTTGTCAGTTGTGAGGATTGAAATCAGGGCTTGGGTGCTTTCCCTGAGCTCTTGTGCTCAAGGCTAGCACTCTACCACTTTGAGCCACACCTCCAGTTCCTGTTCTCTTGTGGTTAATTGGAGATAAGAGTCTCGTGGGCTTTCCTACCTAGGCTGGCTTCAAACTATAATCCTCATCTCAGCCTCCTGAGAGGCGTGAGCCACCAAGGCTCAGCTATAGTAAGTACCTTTCTTGAAATTATCTTGCTTCCATGGCTCTGTGTGTGTGTGTGTGTGTGCGCACACACATGCATGCACCAGTCCTGGGGCTTGAACTCGGGACCTAAGTCCTGTCCCTGAACATTTTTTGCTCAAGGCTAGTGCTCTACCACTTGAGCCACAGCTCCGCTTCTGGCTTTTTGGTGGTTAATTAGCGATAACAGTCTCATGGACTTTCCTGCCTAGGCTGGTTTGGAACCTTGATCTTCAGATCTCAGCCTCTGTTTGATACCTCTTGCACTTTGTAGCTAAATCGCAAGAGATCACCTGAGGCATAAAAACCTGAACTGCTGATGGGTAGCAGCTTTCTCACCTTGTGTAGGCATTAAACTTCATTCCTCTCCTCTCCAGCAGTGAGGTCTAGTGAGGGTTAGTCATCTAAAACTTTTCCTTCAGGGCTACAGAGGCTTGGCCTTTTCTCTAAGTAAGACAACAAGATAGAAATGAGACACATGCCCTGAAGACCTTGTCTTGCATAGTATGTGCTACATAAAGCCAGAAAGAAGTCAGAGTGAAGCTAACAGAATGTCTACAGCCTGGCTGAGCTTCTTCTTTTTTTTTGGTCCGGTCATGGGGCCTGAACTCTGGGCCTGGGTGCTGTCCCTCAGCTCTTCAGCTCAAGGCTAGCGCTCTACCACTTGAGCCAAGCATGCAAGGCAAGCGCTCTACCACTGAGCCACCTTCCCAGCCCTAGCTGAGCTTCTAAAGAGAAAGGCCAGCAACAAAGATGCTTAGAAAATTGGACTTATGCTTTGCAGAATATGTGGGAAGGAAGCATTGTCATTCTGCTTAGTCTTAACAACTCAGATCTTCATTTTCTTCTTGTCTTCATTGTATCATAGTTCCTATGGGTCCTTGTTCCTCATTAGACATGCCTACCTCCAAATATAAACAATGGGAAACTATTCTTTTTAAATTCTGCGGTTATTAGGGGGCTGGGAAGGTGGCTCAGTGGTAGAGTGCTTGCCTTGCATGCATGAGGCCCTGGGTTCGATTCCTCAGCACCACATAAGCAGAAAAAAAAAATTCTGTGGTTATCATGGTTGATTTCAAGACTTCCCACTCCCTGGGTTTGCTTGTTTGACTGGTGCTCTACTACTATAGCCATACTTCCATGCTGGTTATTTTGAAGACAGTCTCTCAGACTTTTCTGCAAAGACTAGCCAAGAATCAGGATCCTCTGGATCTCAGCCTCCTGAGTAGTTAGGACTACAGACATGAGCCACCAGTCCCCAGGTAAAAACTATAAAACTATTCGCTTGTGTGTGTGTGTGTGTGTGTGTGTGTGTGTGTGTGTGTGCGTGCACACGCATGCCCGTAAACGTGCATGCACGCCAGTCCTGGGGCTTGAACTCAGGGCCTGGGCACTGTCTCTAAGGGTTTTTGTTCATGGCTAGCACTCTTCTGCGTGAGCCACAAACTCCACTTCTGATTTTCTGGTGATTAATTGGAGATAAGAGTCTCATGGACTTCCCTACTTGGGCTGGCTTTGGACTGTGATCCTCAGATCTCAGCTTCCTGAGTAGCTAGGATTACAGGCAGGAGCCACCGGCACCTGGATGAACTATGCAAAATCATATATGTAGTGCTTGTATGGCGTACATAAATCCCAGAGTTGATCCTCAGTGCCATCAAACAAATAAAAATATCTTGTGCCAGATTTAAAGTGCTACTATCCTTATACTATATTTAGAGCTAATGTTTCTTAAGTGCCTGCTTTCTTCCAAGGCCCCTTCCACTACTAATTTTGTTATTAGTTCTTAATCATAAATACAAGTTTCCTTTAGTGTTATTTTGAGCCCAAAGTGGAAAAACACAAAACATTTTTTAATGAATTCCAAAGCCAGTGAGTTTGGATGTTTTTTAAACCTTCCCAGAACTTTTCAATAAGATAAAAAGTATTATGTCCAGAAAAAAAAAATAGTCATCCAGTAAAGTTCCCATAAAGTGTCACAGCCTTTGTGAATTCACTATGACTCAGGGTCTGATCATCAGGCATATAGTCTGAAAATCCTATTTTTAGTACAAAAAAGAATAGATCCATCTCTCTGGTTGACTCACACTAACCAATATCACAGAAATAGCTATGTGGTTATGACTGGGGGTCTTAAAGGGAAAGGAAGGGAATAAGATATAAGTACTGATTTTTTGATCATAAGAAATGCTTACGAAGTCTGGCACCTGTGACTCATTCCTGTAATCCTAGCTACTCAGGTGACTGAGATCTAAGGATCAAATATCAAAGCCAGCCTGGGCAGGAAAATTCATGAGACTTTTTTTTTGCCAGCCCTGGGGCCTGAACTCAGGGCCTGGTCACTGTCCCAGAGCTTCTTTTGCTCAAGGCTGCCACTCTACCACTTGAGCCACAGCGCCACTTCTGGCTTTTTCTGTTTATGTGGTACTAAGGAGTCAAACACAGGGCTTCACGCATGCTAGGCAAGCACTTTACCACTAGCCTGTATTTCCAGCCTTATGATACTCTTATCTCCAATTAATCACAAAAGTCCAGAAGTGGGGCTGTGGCTCAAGTGGTAGACCACCCTCCTTGAGCACACAAGCTCAGGAACAGAGCCCAGGCCCAGATTTCAAGCTCTAAAAACAGCAAAAAAAAAAATCAGTCAGACACTAGTGGCTCACACCTGTAATCGTAGCTACTCAGGAGGCTGAGATATGAGTATCTATCTCAGTTCGAAGCCAGCCCAGACAGGAAAGTCTGTGAAACTCTTATCTCCAGAAAACTGGAAGTGGTGCTGTGGCTCAAATGGTGGAATGCTAGCCTTGAGCTGAAGAGCTCAGGGACAGGGCCCAGGCCCAGAGTTCAAGCCCCACGATCAACAACAACAGAAATCAGCAAGTAGGCAGCAGCAGCTATGTTCAGGAAATACATATTAGATTAAAACAAAATCAATGCAAGAGTTTCCCTAGAGTAGATAATAGTTACCCACAGCAATTCTAGTTAAGAGAAAGATTTCCTTTTTTCTTATCCATAAGATAGGAGGAGTAATATGTAGTTCATAGGTTTTGTAATGATTTAATGAGACACTGCAAATAATGTAGTTTAGAACATGTTGTGTCTAGCATGTAGTAAGAACTCAGTAAATCGGCTGATCTTGTGGCATACACCTGTAATCCTCAGGATACAGCCCGCTGAGGTAGGAGGATCATGAGTTTGAAGTCTGGGCTACATAGTGAAACCCATCTTAAACCAAAAAAGACCTCAATAAACAGTGACATCATTGTTGCAATTTCAAGCAGACTTCTGATACTAGGCCTTTTGTGACTTGGTCTAAGAGAAAGAAAACTGGCAGTGATGTTTAAAATTATGTGTACTCAGTCAGACATGGGTCTGACTCTTGTCTCTAGCAGTGAGAGTTGTTAACTATATTGGAATCTACGTGGTGCAGGGCTATGGAATTAGTTAGCTCAGGCTGTAGATAATTTAGGGCAAAACCCTCATTCTTCTGAACCTCAATTTCTTCCCATTTAAAACAGAGTAATCAGGGCTGGGAAGGTGGCTCAGTGTTAGAGCGCTTGCCTTGCATGCATGAGGCCCTGGGTTCGATTCCTCAGCACCACATAAGCAAAAACAAAAAAGCCGGAAGTGGTGCTGTGGCTCAAGTGGTAGAGCACTGGCCTTGAGCTGAAGAGCTGGGGGACAGCGCTCAGGCCCAGAGTTCAGGCCCCACGACTGGACCAAAATAAATAAATAAATAAATAAAACAGAGTAATTAGTACCTAACAGGATATTCATATGGTTTTGATAAGCTCATGTATTGTTAAGAGTTATTGAAAAATACTAAGTGTGCATGTATTAAAATATCACAATGAAATACCTTTGTACAATTAATATATGCCAGTAAAAAGAGGAAAAAAAGTAAATGCAATATACCATAAATTGTTAATAAGTTTTTTCATTGTGAAAATACCGTACAGAGGGGTTACAATTACATGAGCAAGGTAATGAGTACATTTCTTATCAAGCATTGTTGCCTCCTCCTTTGTTTTTCCCCTACCATCCCTGCCCTCCCATCTCCATGACTACATTCCTCTCCTCTCCCCGCCAAAGTTGTAAAGTTGGTTTTTCAACATAGTATTTTGTACATCTCATTGTTGCAATGGGTCCACCTGTATCCCTATTTAAACAATTTGTTTTTTTCCCTTCCCCTTCCCCCATAAATTTTTATGTTTATTTGTATTTTGATTGTTTGTTTTTGCCAGTCCCAGGGCTTGAACTCTAGGCCTTGGAACTGTCCCTGAGGTGTTTTGTTTTGTTTTGTTTTGTTTTTTGTTGTTGTTGTTCATTTTGGTTTTTGCTCAAGGCTAGTGATCTACCACTTGACCCACAGCTCCACTTCCAATTTTTTGGTGGAATTAGAGATGAGTCTCAAGGACTTTCCTGCCTGGACCAGCTTTGAACCTTGATCCTTAGATCTCAGCCTCCTGAGTAGCTAGGATTATAGGTGTGAGCCACTAGCAAACGGTCTTGCTGACTCCTTTTTCTGTTTGGCTACCCTTGTCTACTGAGTCTGAAAAGATGAATTGTTCCAGCATATCAAATGTCCTTACACTGTAGTGCTGGTCTTTCTGAGATTATTCCTAGGCCCCTGGAATTTTATATGTTCTCAAATTCCTAAGTCATTTACTTGAAATAATGATATTATTATTATTTCTTTTTTGAGTCCCCCAGGTGGCTAATTCCATCTATTGTCTGGATTTTTACTAGCTCCATTGTACTTCCAATGTTCTTGGGCAACAATTCCTAATAAGCCCTATATTATACAGACTTTGGAGCCAAATAATTTAGCTTTTCATCTGATCTGCTGTTGACCAGTTTTGTGACCTCGGCAAGCTATTTAACCTCTCTGTGTGGTGTTCTCCTTATCTGTAAAATGGAGACAGTGGTATCCACTTTACAAGGTATGAGGATTAAATGAGCTAATATATGTAAAGTATTTTGCACAGACCCTGAAACTTAGGAAATGCTCAATAAAAATTAGTAGTCATTATTTATAATTGACAACAATTTTATCTTTTTGGAAAGAACAAGGCCTTTGGAATTAAGTCAGTGATCTGGGATACATCGGTTTGCCTTTTTTGAGCTTATATTGTCTTATCTGTAACACCATATATAGCCAGGCACCAGAGGCTCACATCTATAATCCTAGCTTACTCAGGAAGCTGAGATCTGAGGATTGTGGTTCAAAGGCAGTCCAGGCAGGAAAATCCCTGAGACTCTTATCTCCAATTAACCACACCAAAAAGCTGGAAGTGGAGCTGTGGCTCAAGCAGCAGAGCACCAACCTTGGGCAAAAAAGCTCAAGGACAGCACCTAGGCCTGAGTTCAAGCCCCAGTACCAGCACAAAATAAGTAAATAAAATGAGCAATATGTACTGGAAGTGCATGGCTCCAGTGCTAGAGTACCAACCAAGAGTTAAAATAAATAATAGAATAGTAGTAATGTAGTATTACCATTAGAAATCAGAATCTGTCAATATTTCTAATAATATTGATCAAGAGTTGGTACTTCACTGCTTGATAATACAGTTCATGTCATTCAAAATAGCACTCACATTCCTGAGATTACATGAGAAACAAAGATTGCTTGGCTTGGCTTGGCTTTTGTTGTACTGGTCCTGAGACTTGAACTCAGAGTCTGAGCACTGTCCTTGAGACTTTTATTAGTCATGGCTAGCACATTACCACTTGAGCCACAGCTCCACTTGTAGCTTTTTTGGTGATGTAGATAAGAGTCTCAGAGACTCTCCCTGCCCAAGCTAGCTTTGAACCATTATCCTCAGACCCTCCTGAGGAGCTAGGATTACAGGCAGGAGCCACTGGCATCTGATTGCTTTTCAGTTATAAGAGTTCTGTGAAATATCATGTGAAGATCTGGGCTTTTTTCTTTCCTTTCATTCACTCATCCAATTGCTAGCATTGGTCAGTATTTCATGGCAGTTAAGAGAACAGAGGCTGACTCACCTGGAGTAGAATCCTGACTCCATTACTTTATATCTTGAGCAAGTTAGCTTGATCTTCCTAAGCCATAGCTTCCTCATCTGTAAATGGAACATCATAATATTTACCAGTTAGGTCATATAAATGTTAGAAAAATATAAAGCTTTCTAAGTAGTAGCTGTGTCATTATTGTCTCATCACTGGATCCAATTGCTATATCCTAACTTCTCAGGCAAGATAGTATCCAAATATATTAGATGGTATTTCTGAAGAAGTGAAACAGCTTCCTCAGGCTAGCTCATGAACATGCTTGGGAAGGGCCAGCTAGTTTGGGATTTTCATTTCATCTGAACATCTCTGGTTTTTTTGTTTTTGTTTAACCAGGGCTCTACAGATGGAATTTCTAAATCTCTAGAGCTTCATCAAGGTCGATCCCACTCCCAGATAAATGGAAACAATGGCACATTGATTAAGGAAGAGAAAAATGATCGTCTTCCAGCTCCTTCACAGTGTGCCTTATCCAGAGACAGCAATGTATGTGATAATGGTAACCGCTGCTTCCCTGTGAAGAATGGAGAGAAGAACCACTTACAAGAGCAAAAGCTAGAAACGGTAGCACATGGGAAAGAGGACTAGAGGACTAACAAGCTGAACATAGACTTACCAGTTAGGAAGAGGGGAAAACTGTACTTTTCTGATTGGAGGCCCAAGTTAGAGGAGGCTATAAATGCTCACCCTTGATTTGTCCAGGATTTTCATGGGATGTCCTATTGTATACACATTTTCCCCTTCCATATTTTTTTCTCTGGGGCTCCAGACTTCGAAAGCTGGGAAAATTCTGTTTAAAGATGAATAGCAACAAGACTAGCTCTAATTCTTAAATTGAATCTATCGCACCAGTATTCACTTTATCTCCACTGGGAGTCTAGTAAGGCAGTAACTGTCAGAAAGAAAGCAAGGGTTAACACATAAAGTCCTATGGTAAAATTCCAGCTTTGTTTTTCTAAGTGTTTAACATTATAGTCATTTACACACTTGTGTGATAAATATGGGATTGAGGGGACAACTGTCTATGGCTTCCTGATTTTTTTTTCTTTATGAGGTGATGGGGAGGCCTTGATATAAGATCTGTATCCACCTCCTCTTCATTCTTTTTTTCTAACTCATCTACTCCAGGATTTTGTATGCCACCTCTAGCTCTGGCCTGACAATCAGATAGGTAGATGTTTTCAGGGCAGTGAGTAGTATTGGTTATTTTATTTTGTGTTTTATTTTATACTTTTTTAAAAAAACAAAAAAACAAACTACCAATGGCCTTTGTACTGGGAGATTCAAGTGAGTCAGAAAAGTACTGGGCAGATTTTTCCTGCCTCTCAACCAGTGCATTGTTTGTAAAATAGAAGATATGGTGCAGTTCACCCACTCTCTGCTGCCCACACCCTGAAAGGGTAAGAATCAATGTTATGAAACTGAGTACAAAAGGGACTCAAAAGACTCAGTGTGTATGTGTGTGTTATGTGTGTATGGGTGTGTGTATGGGTGTGTGTATATATATCTATATATATATATATGAGAATGTGTGTATCTGTACGCATACACATACCCTTTATATAAAGAGACAGATCTATTTATCTATACATATTTTATATATATATATAAATGTGTGTGTATATGTATATGTATACACATGCATACCTACATGGTGATTTCCCAGAGGATTTACTGAATTTCCCAGAAATGCTTCCACTGCTATGGAGTGGTGGGTTTAAAAGATCACACTTTAAATCTGAAATCCTTACTAAGTCACTGCCCATCACAATTATAAGAAGATGGGCTACTCTAAATCAGACACAAGTACTTTCCAGAGATTGTCTGTTCAGAACAATAAACACTTGGGTTGTTACAAGCTTCACTTTGAACAGAGCCCTCACATCCCATATACTGAAAAAGGGAGGTTGAAATGTGATTGGGAAGAGTTTGGCATTTCTTTATGAAGGTTTGGAAAGGAAACGGGGATGGGAGGTGATTTCTATTAGAAAGGCCTTTCAGCCAATTTTGGAAGAAATTTCTTGTGGAACTCCAGGATCAAATTGGATCAGGTGAGAATTGGTTGACATGAGTCCCTGGAGGGAGAGCTAGCATTGGAAAGATGGGGTAGGGAAGTGTGAGGAAATTTGACAAGTTGATTTTACATCCTAGATTGTTTCATTTGTTCATTGACATTTTGACTACCGGATCTTTTCATTTGCTTTGCAAGGAAGACTTCAGAGGACACTAACCTCGGCCTTGAAAAATACTCTGTAAAAGATTCTCGGCTCTGTGTGGCCAAGATCTGTCCAGGATAAAGAGGCTATTCCTCCTTGCTGGAAATAATCTTGAAACAACCTTGCATTTCCAGTTTCCCTCCTTGGGAAGCCCTAGTATGAGGGATGGAAACATGGCTGCAACAGATAAGCATTATATCTTCATTCAGGAATTGAGGCTTTCAGCCTCACATACTTTCTTTTGGGCTTTATGATATTATTGCCCAAGAAGTACCATTTCTACAGGAATACAACTGACTAGACTTCTAGCAGGGTTCTCTTTTTGAAAAAGAAAATAACCCATGCACCTTAACCCACAGCAGATCCTTGGTGATTTTTTTTCCCAGACAACCAGAAGGCTGTTTGCTAACTGCTCACTTACAATGACTGTATCTCAAGAAACTGAAAACTGTCCGGCTATTTAATTCTAGTCTGGCCCAGTTTAAATGAACCCAGTATTTGCAGGGGAAGGAGCCCTAGAATGCCTTGCCACCTGCCCAAATACTTCTTACATAAACCTAAGAAGGATGACAAAAGTATACACTTAGCCATATGTAAGCAGGAAAAAGTATATGACAACTTTCTCTTTCGAATGAGCTCCCAATTTGATCCCTCTTGGACCTTCCTAACTTTTCACAACATCTTAAAGGTTAGGACTTTTAGACTCAGCAAGGGAGGGGACTCAGTAAATTGAGATGGCTTGGAATTTTCTTTATGTGCCACAGAGAGATGAACCTTTGGAACTCTAAAAGTAACCAGAATCACTAAACTGTGAGAGAATGGTTATACACATATGGATATATATTGAATAGAAAGTATTTGGAGTTAAATGTAAGGTCTCTTTTCAGTTGCTGTTTCCATGCATCTTGAATGTATCTGACATAGTCGGGTGCCAGTATTGTTAACTCACAGCATTAAGATTCTTAGTTTGTAGGCATTCACTGTGAGAAGTAAAACTGCTTCTTTCACAGGGATGATTCCAGTTTACCAAAAGGCTTGCTTGTCTCCCTTCCACACACCTTGACTTTTACCTTAGCTTGACCTAGGGTGAAATAAGTGGTTCACCTCCAACTCTGATTTTTTTATTTGTATTCAGCATTTGGGGTTTAAAAGATTGAAAGAAAGAACTATGAAGGGCCATATTCCCAAATTTAAATTCATATACCAAAACACATGAATAAAAGCCACAAAGCTAAGGCTGATTACTGGAAAACAAACTTTTTTCTAAGCAGAGGACAAATTGGGGAAGAGAAGGTCTAACTGATGTTTGCTGTGCCACTTGGAGAGACTCTCATCCTTTATCTGAGGTTCCATTTCTGACTGGGATGTGGCCACTTTCAAACAAAATCATGTTGGAAACCCCATAAATGACCCCTTCACTTTGTATGGCCACAAGCTAAAAAAGACACTGGTTGTGTATGGCCACTGATCCCCAAGGGGTTGCAGATCTTAATTTCTGCTAGCATGTCTTGGGGTCATTCTGGACAGTCTGGTCTGGACCAGACCTGACAGACTTCTGCTCATCTGTATCATTTTCATTCTGACCCAGTAGAATTTTGAATAAACTAAAGCCCAAAAACTGGTACTTATTTTGGTTAGGGACATTTGATTTGTCTCCATCTTGATTTTCTGACATTGTTGGCCAAGTCACATTACTATTTTTTAATCAGAGCAAAACAGCCAGACAAGGCATTAGGGTGGGTGGTTAAGGTGGGTGGTGGGGGCAGGAATGCTTAGGTAGGGTAGAAAGAATATGGGAGTAGCTTTTTGGTTATGATGAGCCAGTCCTTTGGAATCTTAGAAGGCTCCTGTGGGCATACCAGTGCCACCATTTCAGCCTCTAAGACCCCCCCCCCCCCTACACACACACATACTCCTTTGAAAGGACAATACAAGTAGACCACAGTTAAGTAGTTAGTGTAATTCTACTAAGGTTTAATCATACTTGTTCACTTCCGGGTGCATATTTCCTAAATATGCTTGGGGTTGGGTGGGGGGTAAGTTTTCACTATTCCATTGTATTTGCCCTATATTTTCCCCTCCCATGACTTTGGCATCTTATTTGACTTGCTCTTTCCCCTTCGCTTATTGCAGTAGTCTGCTGGTGCAGGTAGACAGCGGCTCAGTGCACCTATTTCCCTATTACTGCTGGTTACCTTCAATATTGTCCAAGACTATTTTGGTGTTCAAAAACAACTGTCTTTTTTAAAAAACAAAATCATCTTCACCAAGTTAAAAACAAAACAAAACATCCCCTGTGCTAGGGTGCCCATTTCAGCTTTTGCCATTGCCCCTGTACTTTTTATAAATGCTGTTTTCATCTGTGTTGGTAGTAACTAATGGCTAGTGAATTTCATGTAAATGAAGCAAACTGAATATTTCAGATTTTATTAATCTCATAACCCTGCCAAATCTGATGACTTCATTTTAATGACTTCCCAGAAGGCATTTCCCCTCCTACCTTTTATTTTATTCTATTATTAGACTAACACACTAGATAAAGAAACTTTAACTGCAAAAAGTCAGTGATTTTTAGTGCTCCCTGGTAAATAATGTTAATGACAAAAGTAAATTCTTTCATTGTTTTTTTTCCTGTGTTACTATCTCTTCTCCTGTGCTCTTGACAGTGTGTTTAGTGGATGGATAATACGTATTTCTCTTTCCCACTCCCAGATTCCAAATTCCCTGCCTTTTTTGGCCCACCTCACCACAAAAGCTCCATAGTTTATTAATGTAAGTTTGAATGGATGCTTCTTTGGGGAAACTGCAGAAGTTAATGAAAATGTTTCAGAAAGGAATGAGAATGTCTCTGGAGTTGTTCTGTGATGGAATTTGGTCTGTTGTTCTGTTAATGCTGATGGAAAGAAACTTACAGCGCTTAATAAAAGTTTATTCTTTTAGTAAAAAAATGTGAAATAATACTGGGTGTGTGGAATTTTATTTTCCCATCATTTGATACCTTTCTACAGACTGAAAACATCGCACAGAGATGTTGGTGTCAGAGCATGTCAGAGCAGGAGACCCCTCACAAGAATTATCAAATTAAGGGGCTGGGAAGGTGGCTCAGTGGTAGAGCGCTTGTCTTGCATGCATGAGACCCTGGGTTCGATTCCTCAGCATCACATAAACAAAAAGAAAAAAGCCGAAGTGGCGCTGTGGCTCAAGTGGTAGAGCGCTAGCCTTGAGCTGAAGAGCTCAGTGCGCAGGTCCAGAGTTCAGGCCCCACGACCGGACCCCCCCCCCCAAAAAAAAAAGAATTATCAAATTGAATTGTATATTTAGCTTTCTAATTCATCTTTTGATTTGGATGATCTAACGCCAGTTTTCATTTAACATTTCCCAAACAGAACCTTTTTTAGTTTGCTACTCCATGAGTGATATTCCTATCAATTCAGTTGCCTAAACTACAAACTGACCTAGGGGGATTGGTTATCATTTATGGGTTTTGTTTGTGTGTTGGGTTTTTTTTTTGTTTTTTTTTTTTTTTGGCGGTTGTAGGGCTTGAACTCAAGGCTTGGGTGCTGTCCCTGAATTTTTCTGCCCAAGGCTAGCACTCTACCACTTGAGCCACAGCCTTTTGTGGTTAGTTGAAGATAAAAGTCTTAAACACTTTCCTGCCGTGGCTGGCTTCAAACCTTGATCCTCAGATCTTAGCCTCCTGAGTAGCTAAGATTACAGGCCTTGAGCCACCATCACCCAGCTCAAGAGCTGGTTATCATAAGACTCCTGCCTTTTCCTTGTTTTTCAAATCCAGTCAGTGACAAGATCTGTTTATTACATCATATCTTGCCTGACCTCATTTCTGTGGCTCAGTTCAGGCCTCATCATTTCTTACCTGGACTATTGTGTGTGCTTCCTAGTCTTAACTCCTAACCAGGCAATTGTAAGCACTATTTTGTGCCTGAGGAAATGGACTTTTTTCCACTGAAAAGGCCTATACGGCTGCGTGCGTGCATGGGTGTGGATGTTAGTACTTACCTCAGAGCCTTAGATTCCCCACCCTATCCCAGCTCTCAACTTGAGCAAAGGTTTCACTTAAGGCTTTTTGCTGGTTAATTGATAAGAATCTGCCTGAACTAGCTGTGAACTATAATCTTCAGATCTCAACTTTCTCAGTAGCTAAGATTACAGGCATATGAGATGCCACCAGTGTCTGGCTTTTGTCCAGGGTTGTTTTTTTTTGCGGGGGGGTGGGGGGGGTTCCGGTTGTGGGGCCTGAACTCTGGGCCTGGCCGCTATTCCTCAACTCTTCAGCTCAAGGCTAGCGCTCTACCACTTGAGCTACAGCGTCACTTCCGGCTTTTTTCTTTTTGCTTATGTGGTGCTGAGGAATCGAACCCAGGGCCTCATGCATGCAAGGCAAGCGCTCTACCACTGAGCCACCTTCCCAGCTCTTGTCCAGGTTTTTGAATCAATTTATGACACAAAGGAGGGTTGAGAACTATTGCATATAGACAGGCACAGATGACTCTTGCCTGTAATCCTAGCTAGGAGACAGTTCATAACTAGCCTGAGCAAGAAAGTCTACAGCACTTTTTTTTTTTTGCCAGACCTGGGCTTGAACTCAGGGCTTGGGCACTGTCCCTGAACTTCTTTTGCTCAAGGCTAGCACTCTACCACTTGAGCCACAGCACCATTTTTGGCTTTTTCTGTTTATGTGAGAAATTGAACCAGGGCTTCATGCATGCTAGGCAAGCCCTCTACCACTAAGCACATTCCCAGCCCATCTATTGCACTCTTATCTCCAATTAGCCAAAAAGCTGGAAGTAGAGCTGTGGCTCAAGTGATGAGTGCTAGCCTTGAGCACAAAAGCAAAGGGACAGCACCCAGGCCCTGACTTTAATCCCCAGGACCAGCAGCACATAAACACAAAGAATTGCTTTAATCTACCATGCTTATCTGTTTCCAAAGTCCTAATATACTACTCAACAACATCAGTGGTACTGTCTTTGTTGACCTCTGGCCACTTTTTTTTTGTCAGTCATGGGGGTTGAACACTGGGACTGGGTGCTGTCTGTCCCTGAGCTCTTCATCTCAAGACCAGTGCTCTACCACCTTGAGCCATAGCACCACTTCCAGTTTTCTGGTCGTTAATTGGAGATAAGAGTCTCACAGACTTTCCTGCCCAGGCTGGTTTTGAACTGCGATTCTCAGATTTCAACCTTTTGAGTAGCTAAGATTATAGGCATGAGCCACCAGCACCCAGCTTTCTGATCACTTTTCTAGCTCTAATGACAATGAAGTTCACCACACATCCATTAAGTTAATAACAGCTTCTCATTTTCTGTACCATTTTGTAGAATGTCTCTCTTTGCCTCTAGTAGTCTTTACTCCTCCACCCTAGATACGTACAAAATTCAGCTATGCCTTTGATTCTTTTTCTGATTATCAACTAAGGATCCCTGTGCCAACTCATCACAGCTGTCCCTACAGCACTTCGTTGCATCCTGCTCTTGGATTGAACAAACAAGCAGTGTCTATGCTTGATTATCTCATGTCCTTGGCACTGAAGTAAGTAGACTGGGTCTGAGCAATGGGCCTTGATGGTGAAGGACAGTCTTTGTTTGCAGATGTATTTTGAGTTGGTGGGTTCCAGAAAAGTCTTACTCTCCTTAGATAATTGGTTCTTTTTTTTTTTTTTTTTTGAGTCCGGTCGTGGGGCCTGAACTCTGGGCTTGGGCGCTGTCCCTCAGCTCTTCAGCTCAAGGCTAGCACTCTGCCACTTCAGCCACAGTGCCACTTCCGGCTTTTTCTTCTTATGTGGTGCTGAGGAATCAACCCAGGGCCTCAGGCATGCAAGGCAAGCGCTCTACCACTGAGCCCCTTCCCAGCCCCAGATGATTGGTTCTTGATTTCCCTTGTGTCCACATTTGATTTGTTTTGGCTTATATTTAACATCCTTGTTAGATTTGAATGTTCACTGGTTTTTACTTTGATTGTGTTCACATATGATTTGCTTTCTACTTTGCTAATATTAATTTCATGTACCTTGGGTGTTTGGGAGGGCATATAAGCCCTGTGTTAGTTGTATTCAAGATGGTAGGGCTTTGTTACTAGAGCCTCCTTTGTTACTAGAGCCTCCACTGCTGCCCACTAGCGCTCCAATAAAGACTCCAACTCAGCCTTTTAAATGGTGGCTTCTCTGTTCTCGTGACTGGATCTACCATACAACAGCATCTGCTGTATAGCATGCACTTAACAAAGTGTTCAATGAAGATACATGAAGGGCATCCAAAACACCTTTAAACAGTGTTTTGTACATTGCAGATTATAGACTTGCAGCAAAAGATACATTGGTAGCAAGATCACAGGAAGATTGAGTGTGAGGGTTCATCCCTAAATAGTAGTTTTTAAGTGGGCTTTAAAATTGGTCTATGAGAGAAAAAAAGGTGCAGAGTCATCTTTGAGCAGTAAAGGAATGCTTGAAGTAGAGTCTGAAGCTGGGACTATAGGGGCTTTTTTGAGAGTGGGGGGTGGGGTGCTAGTCCTGGGGCTTGAACTCCCGGCCTTGGTGCTATCTCTGAGTTTTTGTGCTCAAGGCTAGCACTCTACCACTTGGGCCACAGTTTCATTTCTGGTTTTCTGTGGTTAATTGGGCTGGATTTGAACTGAGATCCTCAGATCTAAGCCTCCTGAGTAGCTATGATTACATGCATGAGCCACCAGCACCCAACCTTTAGAAGCTTATTACTGTTGAATGATGCTAACTAGTCTTGCCTTCCCCCAACCAATTTGTATCTTACATATACAAATTATAAAAAGAAACCGTTGAGGGACTGGAGAGGTGGCGTAGGTAGAGTCCTTGCCCAGCATGCATGAAGCCCTCAGTACCACAGGAAAAGCTAGAAGTAGTGCTGTGGCTCAAGTGGTAGAATGCCAGCCTTGAGCAAAAGAAGCTCAGGGACAGTGCTCAGGGCCTGAGTTCCAGCCCCAGGACTGGCAAAAATAAAAGGAAACACCTGAAACTAAAGGGAAGCAATAGAAGCCTGCTTCAGTTTGGAAACACTTCATACTTAAATGAAAACTATTATTTACAAATATATGTTTTATGTAGTTTCACTACAGTCACAGATGTTTTGTTTTGTTATTGTTTTTGTTTTTGATGCGGGTTCTGGGGCTTGAACTCTGGGACTTGGCATTGTCCCTAAGTTTCTTTTGCTCAAGGCTAGCACTCTACCACTTGAGCCACTTGATTTTAGTTTCTTTTTTCAGTTATAAGAACAATAATCAAGGAGCTGGGAAGGTGGCTCAGTGGTAGAGCACTTGTCTTGTATGCATGAGGCGCTGGGTTCAATTCCTCAGCACCACATAAGCAGGAAAAGCCAGAAGTGGCCCTGTGGCTCAAGTGGTAGAGCACTAGCCTTGAGCTGAAGAGCTGAGGGACAGTGCCCAGGCCCAGAGTTCAGGCCCCATGACTGGACCCAAAAAAAAAAAAAAAAAAGAACAATAACCAGGAACTTAGAAAGTATAAAGACACCAAGGGTGATGAAGAGCAAAGATAAAAACCTATCTCTGCGTAATTTTTTTTTTCTTTTTGGGTCCAGTCGTGGGGCCTGAACTCTGGGCCTGGGTGCTGTCCCTCAGCTCTTCAGCTCAAGGCTAGCACTTTACCACTTGAGCCACAGCACCACTTCCGGCTTTTTTCTTTTTGCTTATGTGGTGCTGAGGAATCAAACCCAGGGCCTCAGGCATGCAAGGCAAGCGCTCTACCACTGAGCCACCTTCCCAGCCCTCTCTGCGTAATTTTAAGTCAGACCTACTGCCTTTATCATATAAATAACCCTAATGTCAAAGAGCCTACTGTTTCTCTCCCTTTGAAAGCACTCACACTGTTAGAGTGTGCCTGTGCCTTTCTACTTGTCTATTTGCTTTTTGTCTGCTAGCCTCCTTTCTTAGTTACTCAATAAAACTGCCAAGTT